GAAGGAAACAAAAGACAGTTAACTTCTGTACATATTAAACCATCTTTAACATTTCCTTTAGCTCATAAACATACCACAGACTGGCAGAGAGCTATCTCAGACTGTTTAAAGTGTGGTGTTGTAAAAGGTCACCGCCTAAAGCTTCCCGGCTACGGCTGAAAACTGTTTCACCCCTCCATTACAGAACACTTTCCAAATGACATCAGAAGCCATATTGCAAAGCTGCACAGGATAAAAACACCATTAAACATCTGTCTGAGAGGAGTGGGTCTTGGGGTTATACAAGAGTTCCTAAGAGCGCTCTCAGAGGTGAAAATGTAGTCAGAGTTCTCAATTTTCTTTAAGGTTGATTCATTACTGATGAAATAAGTACTGTTTCAATCAACGCTGAAAATCACAGTAAAAGCATTTTTCAACAGGACAAGTACTCTAAAGAAATACTTAGCTTACAATTCACCAAACGAACCTAAATAAAAGAAACACAGCAAAGAAACACAGCAAAAATTTCTCTTTCCATTAAAAAAAGAAAATCACATGCATGCTTTCCTATTCTTTACATGCCTTTTCACACTGAGAAAACAACAGTTAAACAGGATTTCTGTGTTTTGTATTATTATATTTTAATATTTTAAAATAGGAAAAGCTAAAGTGAAAATCTTTACTTGAGGAAAGGCTTCAAAAATAGAGATTTATATGGAGACAGAAAAGCAGCTGGGTGGAGATAGCAGAAAAGGCAAATCATTTCCTTTCACAGAAAATAACCACAATCCATCAAAAGCAATAAAATATAATATTGTTTGGTTTAATAGTATTTTTTAGATATATATGCACACAAAAGAGCTGCTGGGAAGCACTTAAAAATACTGCTTTTCTAGCATTAGCAGTTGCTGCCACTATGCCTTCCAGCAAGTTTGCTGCCTCTGCATGAAAAAACATAGGATAGATTTTCCCAAACACCATTTCTCTCAAAGTGCTCAATCTTGCTGTACGCTTTTAAGTACTAAACAAAACAAAAGAGGAAAAGATGAAACAGCTTGATATTTGGTTTATGATGTCATGTAATATCAAAAAATTTAATATACAGATATTTCAAGTCTTAGGAGATGTAAGACATTAGATTTATGCCCCACAGTATTTGGGTCGTACTTTGATTCTCTAAATCTCAAGAAGAGAGACAAAAGTATCATGAAATAGTAAAGTGAATTAGAATGACATGAGTAAAGTAACCAACAATAATTCAGACATTTTAACTGCCAACACCATTATGACACTGTGTCACTACACTACTTGAAAATCCAAGGTGACAGTGAAATTTCAAGGCAAGATCATGCAAAAGATTTGTCAGTAGCATATGAGTGGTTTTGCTGTTATATAAATACACAGAGATCCGGGATGAGGCTTGAGAGAAAAAAGGCCCCTCCTTAAGAGAAAAAAAAAAGTAAAAAGGAACAAAAATAATCCTGAAAGAACAACTTGAGTGACTATGTATAAAACAAGATTTCAAAATGTAACGTGTGTTTCTCTTCAACCAAAAAGAACATGGCTTAAGTTAGATCTTCAGCTTTTTAAAACTGTTTTCCTCATGGAAAGTGCAGGCGTCACTGACATGAACTGTTCTAGACTGAGCTAGCCACAGGAAGGTTAAGGGTTGCTTACATCTGATAATGCTAAACATTCTGATGGCAATGCACCTTTGCTGTTCTAGCCCTAACCTGTTCTGTTTCGTCGCCTAAAAGAACTGCAAGATGGTTTAGCTAGTACGTAAGAGCAACAGTGGGGCAGCAATAGCAAGAATTTTTAGTCATATCACCAGTAATTCCATACAAAACTTCGGGATCCAACAGCAAAAAGCTTGAACAAAATACCTGACTTCAGCTAATCTTAGGCTAATGACAATACTTTTCTTTGCCAAAATCATCACAACCTAAATATACACAGTTTGTTATAGATTTTGCTAAGAAATATAACTGGGTAAAAAGCATTTCAAATATATCACCAGAACACACAGATGAAAAAAAAATAGTAGTATGTCAATTTACCAACATGTCGATTTACCAGACAAGAATTACCACAGAGGAGAGAAGCAACATCAGAATTTGTTACAGATAAACACCGTGCAGTGCCTCTTTCGGGGTGGCTGAAGCAGTCTGGCTATAGTAGCTCAGTTTTCAAGTTACACACACTGTCACTTTAATCCAGTATAAATCTAGACTGCTGCACAGGGAGCAGTCACGTTCCTAATGCTGTGCCATAGCTTGTATTCAAGCAGCCACCCCACAAGCCCACAACATAAAAACTGCTTTGTCTAAAATTTAGCTTGACTCTAAAAGGGTGTTTTCCACAGAGAAGAGATCACAATTCATGCCAGACTAAAGGGACCGTGTGACCACTGCTACAGCAGAAGGCCAGGACTGAATAAATCATTAAAATAGAACAGTTTTTTCTAGTGAGGAAGGAATCCAAGTCAGGAGTGAAGCTGACAAGCAGGTGAAATAGGGAAGTTTGCATCATCGGTACCTTTACTGGACTAACTCCAAGTCTGAAAATTAATAATTTGGCGGAAGAACAGTCTTACCTTTATAAAAAGTCAACATAGTTATTTTAAATTGGATACAAAGTAACTTGACAATTATGAGAAACGTCCTGAATTTATGTTTGGTTTTTACAACACACTTTGTGGTGTGAATAGCAGCTGGAACGCTAGGCTTTGCCTCAGTTTCCTGGCATTTTTCTATTTCTGTCACAAATTCTATACAACATAAACAATAGTTCCCATTTAACTGTCTTAAAAGAAAAGCATACTATAGCATACTCTATTTTCAAAACACTAAACAAATTAGCAAGCTCAATCAGGAACCTAAAATACTGAATTTCAGTATTGATTCCAGTTCAGTTATTATTTTCAAAGCAAGACTGGAGCTCAGCTTCTGCGTATTCCACTGAATAACTAACAGGATCTCATTTTAAACACTTCAGCAACATTAACTCTCAAGAAGCTGAATTAACAGGAATCCAACTCAAACTAAACCAAACAAAAATAACTCCAGCACTGGTATTTCTAAGGATATTCCAAATTTAAAATACTTCGGTCTTACCTTGGACACATTGCTGATATAATCCAATTGACAAGTGCTCTCTTTATCTACTTGGTTACAAAGATTCTGTAAAGTGGAGGCATACTCTTTATCACTTTTTACTCGCATAACCATAAATTTCTTCACTGTTTCCAGCAGTCGTAGTTCCCAGTCTTGCAGTTTTAATAAAGCATCATGAGAATACTTCAGGTCACTTCCAAACCCCATTTTTTAAGGCACTATATACCACACAAGGGGAAGTACAGGCTCTTCACCACATCTGAAAGCAGAACAAGATTCATGAGACATGTATCAAAAGAAAAACTCTAGTGTGACAAAGAGCAACTATTAACGTCTAACTCTGAAATAACTTAATCGTAAGATTACCCACATGCGTGTAACTCCTCAAACTAAACCAAAAGGAGGGTCAGAGCACTGTTTGTAACACCCTCTATGAATGGAAGAGATCTCAGGCTCTCAGGCCCAGAATTGTCCTCCAGTTTCCAGCTTAAAAGTGGAGTTATAAGGGAACATATAAAAGCATCTAAGACAGACACTAAAGACCAATCCACGTATTTAATCAATTAAGTATAGCTGACAGTATCTCCAGACAAGAACTGCCCAACTACACTCTTCCTCTCCTGGTGACCCGAAACATTTGCTTCTGGTGTTTAAAGTCCTAAGAGCACAGAAAAATCCAAATAAAACATCAGCTCTCAGGCACTGCATTGCGCGAAAGGGATAACCAGTTAGAAGCTGGTTTGTTCCTAAACACTGTATTAACAGGCCACTAAACTTGCAGATTCAATCTCCCAAAACCAAGAAAACATCCCAAACCAGGTTCCGCATGCAACCATCCATGGCTCCCCCGCGACACGCATTAGGGCAGAGCCCTTAAGTTCAGACGATTTTCCCCTAAGGCAGACCAGTCTCACTGCACCAAATGGACATCATCTGATGAACAGATAAGAAATCCTGTAACACAACTGCAGGTCAAAGACACGTGTTTGAGCTAGCTCTAAAACACCTGCATCTGATACCGATAAACATGTAGCCACATCATGGAAGACCTGAACCCACACACACGAGTACTTTCCACAGAATTGCACAGGTTTTGGAATGCAGGCTGAACCCTCTTTTCTGTGTATACACCAAAAACCTGTTCCTATACTAATCGGCTTCAAACTGGGCAAGATAGACTTACATAAATTGCAACGACGTAGCTCTGGATAGACATGCAGACACAGCCTGTGTACTGCTTATTCACTAATTCCTGCACTCCAGCGAAGTCTTAGCTCTATTGTACACAGAAGTACCAATTTCTTCACAGGCTTTAAATTGCCATTTAAATTAGCGGAATATTTTACAAACATTAATACATTTATCTTCCTAACAGTCCATGGGGCAAAGCAGGACTAATAATCTTAATTTACACCAAGAACTGAGCCACATAAACTAATGTCAACATTGCACCAGCTAATACTGGTATTTATAAGGCTTGAAGACAGACTTTTCAGAGAGCCTAGCATTTTTAGCACATTAAGTATTCAGAAAAAAAAAATGTTATTGGCTTCAGTTACCACACAAAATTCCCAAAGATTTTGTAAATCAGAACCTAGAGCAATCTCCAGGGTAGCCTGCAGACAGACTCCCAAGATTGTTCCTCTCTTCCCGCAGATCCCTGCCTCCATTAGTTCTTCCAGTAAGTTACGGAAATAAGCTTCACCCACTACGTGTTCATACTCAGAACACAAACTATGCTACGTAACGAAAGAAACAAAAATTCCATAAAGAAACTAAGAATAGTGCCATGTTACTGTACATCTACACAATAGAGACAAGTCAAGGTTGTATGAGTAACCTTAAATCTATCACCAGTTTTCATATGCTCTTTAATTTGAAGTTGTATATTTCAGTCAGAACTCTTGCTGATGGTTAGGAGCTCAGCCATAAAGGAAACAGTAAACAATTCACACTGGCTGTATTTATAAAGGATGGACTATGTCACTATTGGTTGTATCAATGATAATATTTTCACAGTTAAAAAGTTTAAGAACAGTCTTGCAAAACCACTAAGATTTTAGCAAGACCAGCAAAATTCAAAATCTTAAAGCACCTACTTAGTAATAACCACTGGAGCTACAGCTGTGATTTTTCAACATCATTTATGCCATGTCCACTTTTGCAATCAAGTTCAGTTTTCTCCTAGCACATTTTAGCACATTACCTAAATATCCTCGCACATTAGCTATGAGAAAAACTAGTATCTTTATTTTCTTACATTCCAGATTCAGAAGAGATGAGAACTGAATCTCAGGATGAAGCCTGGCCTTGTTGTATGAGTAAAATGCTAGCTAGCTTGCTTTTACTCTAACCTCTGTCTTTTACTGAAAGGCAAGAGGGTAAGGGAGAGAGGAAATATTCTCAGTATATGGTATTTCAGTCTGCTTCTACTGACTCAACTGTGGAGTCATAAGATCACAAAAATCAATAGAACAGAAGACCCAACAACATTTCACTCCATCCTGCTAAGCTTCCTTTAACTTGTTAGTAATTAGATTTTTTTTCCAATTACACTATTAGATGTCTGGGTATACAGACTAAAACTGTACACATACTGGACTCTGTTTGTTTTAAATTATTGCATTCACTGTGACAGAAGCAGCACAACAAAAATTCATTTTGCAAATGCAATGAAATTCTGATTTGGTAAGACTAATAAGGATAAAGTCTCAGAGCTGATGACTACCAACCAGGTAAGCCAGCCTCCGTATGCCTTCCTTGCAAATTAAGAAAATGTTCAATCAAGACATTCAGCAAAGCTCAAATGCTCCAATAGTGCAGAGGCAAAGAAGTGGTGAAAAAGTTTCTAAGATCCAAGCCACTTAACTGTCAATAAGCTAAAACTCGATGTTTTTAATTAAAAGCATTTTTAATTTTTTAATACTTTTAATGCTTTTAAACAACTGAAAACAGTACAGATCACACAGTCACTTATTTGAAGTCAAAACTGTAAGAATTACCAAACAGACGAACAGATGTGTTGCATCTGACATCAATACAGACAGGTATTTTTCCAAGTTTGGTATCTCCCTGCTTAGTGTGCACAGATGAGTTGACAGCTGCCCTACAAGGTCAGACCAATACATTAGAATATTTCAGTTGGAAGGGACCTACAATGATTGTCTGGGCACAACAACCCATTTAGATCAGCACAGTGTCTTCAACCATCGCACCAGGAGATGTTGTTTAAGGACAGCGAAAAAGTTGAGCTGCTGTTTGTTGTGTGATTCCTCCTTGTGCTTCCCCATGTTCACAGCTACGGGACTACGGAAAAAATACTAACAGTCCCATTTTTTGGCTTTGCCATACAACATTACAATGTTCACGCTGAACATGTAAGACAAAGACAGATTCCCACATAGATTTTGCAACCTCAGACTACGGCAAAATTGAGTAGTGCAACAAAATCTGAAGCCAGGAAAGATTTACTGTGGAACCAGTAGGAGATACAGGGAGTCTGAGACACAAACATACTTTGAAGTCTAATGTTGAAAAGATGAAAATATAGTGTGAAAGATACTTGGGGAGAGGAGGGGTAATCTTGCTCAAAAAAAGTAGGAGAATATTTTATCTTAAAGGAGCAAAACAGAAATGGCATCCTGTTTTCAAGTAGCTAGATGGAGAACTGATGACAACAAACACATGATAAGATAAATTCATACAGAAAGAAACCTTTAGGAATTGCTTACTCTTACTGTGAAGAGCTCTTTCCTACTTATGGAAAATACCCATGAGGTTTATCTCTTTTTCCACACATGAATAATGCTTCCATAATTTGACAAGCCACTGAAATCTCAAACTGAATTCTAGCATGTTTCATAAAAGTAGTAAGATCCCAGTGGCATCAAATAGGACAGATGAGTTTCAGATAGTTTATTTCTTCATTTCAAAATGTGAGAGACACATATATATGTTACTAAAAAAATTACTGGATATGCAAATTAGCCAATCAATATTTGGTAAGCTTTAACAGTTATAATACCCCTCAGAACCAGTTCCAAGAAAGTAAGACTTAATTTTCTTTTTACAGTCACTCTCAAAATAACAAACTAATCACTGACAGGAAGTAAACACTCAATGTACCTTTAATAACATACTGCAAATGAGCAACCAGACCTTGACTAGTTCTAAATTTAAGCACAGCTACTGAAGACCGCTTATGACTTGCCTCAACCACCACCACCACATCAGTGCAGTCAGATTTCAAATCAAGCCATGTTAAATTTTGTCAGCACGACAGTGAGAAATTTCAATGACAGTCGCATAATCCTGCGATACTTTTAACACTCCCCTCAGCAAATAAAGCCAACATTCCAGCACTAGTAGTCTTCCTGGATTCCAGTAATAACTCTGAAGAAAGTAGTTTTCATAGCCAATCTACATTTAATTTAAAGATTGCAATCTGTCCCTGACACATGAGAGCAGCCGCACTGTGTCAAAGACCCTGTGTGTCTCTCAATGAGTGAAAGCAAACGAGCAGAGAACAGAGCAAGTATATAACCAAGGCTTTCCCAGGATGCTTGCCTACCCTTGTACCAACTGGTGCCTTCTGTTACATATTGCCATGAAGTGTATCCAACACCATGATTGCTAAGCTTAAAATAATAACGGATCCACCTGCATCAGTTGGAACTTGTGGTTTCATCAGCAAAAAGGCAGGCAACTGATAAACCACAATCAGAAGCACGCCTGGCCCCTAGTTAAATTCAGAACAGGAAAGCACAGTGCACATCTGGCCCACTCCATAAAGAGGAATACAGAATGGGCATGGTATGCAGACAGCACCACATTCACTCTTGATCTGCTGCCCACTCTCTTCCCTTGCTCCTAAATCTGCATGGCTTATATTTTGCAAACCCTTTTCAGAAACAGTAAGAATACTGCAAAATCAGGAAAGGAAGAGAACTTGGACTCATGAGACAAATCCTCAAATTCAAGGCTTCTGTACTGATTTAAAAGGAATTTTGTAACAGATGATCAATTTATTAGACAGTCCTTCTCTATTTCTGAATGTGCGGCTTACAGTAGTCGTATACCATTAAAATAATAAAATAAATCATTTGTAGCCTCCATCCACACTTTAAACAAAAATTGGACTGTTAAAAAATTGACATTTCTGTTGGTGTAGGATCTATTTCTGGAAGGTACAAGACCATGAAAAATAAAACATGTTTTACCTACCATTTGTTTACACCAACCACATATTCAGAACATTATCCGTATATGCATTTGATATGCTCATTAGTTCAGCTAGTTCATGCAATATGAACTAGCTGAACTAATGCTTCCATAGAGCTATTGCCATCAATAAGCACCCAAAGATATAAACTCTAAAGCTAGTCTGATCATTTCAAAACTGTTCTGAAATATTAGTCCCCCCAAGGCAAAATAAGCAGCTTATTTTCAGACAGGCTTTTCTGCAAAACATAGCTCACATACCTTAAAAAATTTTCCTCAAGAAATGATCCTCAGTCCACTTGTCTTTATGTCAGCAGCTACTTCTGATTTTCACTTTCTGAAATAAGACTTTTATTTTCTGGGTACTCTGTAAAAGAAAAACAGATCAAACATTTTTATTATTATTTCAGCATCTCAAAATACATTGCAAAACTTAAACTTGGGTAAATTGCTTTGTATTTTCAGATTATTACCAGAAGACAGATTTTTCTGTTTTTTAAAAAGAGATGGAGTACTAGAAAACCAAAAAGCGGACTTCTGAAATGACTGCAAGTAGCAGTATGCTATCACTTCACACACAAAATTTTGAAGGAAGAAGTAATTTTGTCCCTATACATGTAACTGAAGATTACTGGGTTTTAAATTGTTGGAATTTCTTGTGACACAGGGTATTGTAGCCAGAAAATTAGGTAATTTCATTTATTTATGAACTTTGCCCTTGATAAAACAAAAAAGGAAGCCCATTAACAAGGAAAACAAAAGCATGGAAGACCGAAATTCATTGTACGAAAAGCAAACTTAGTAGCAGTGTTTTCACTAGACTGTGAGAGAACAAGTGGCAACATGAGAAAGGGACCGATCAAGACACAGAAATTTCTTATATGGCTCTAATTACTACAATACCTAGGAGTGCAAGAGGTCAGAAAGTTAAAACGGCTGCAGCAGGAAAAAAAAAAAAAAAAAAAAAAGTCAAGCTGTAACTCTGGACTGTAATGTAGGTGAAGCAAATTGCAACAGACATCCAGACCTTTGAGGTTTTATACTTTTTTAAAAGTATGTTAAATATAAAAAATAATAAGAAATAGGCTCTGCATATAGCTTACAAGTGCAAGGTATACTATAAAAGCTACATCTGGACCGATGCTGAGTGTTCATGCAGAACCGCATACCAGAGTGTCTCATCTAAAGCTAAACCTTTAGATGAGACACTGAATATTGGTTCAGCAATTCCCTTGTAAGAGACACATTAAGCAAAACTGACAGACAGACACACTGCAATGGTAAAGAAAAGAGAACTATTTCGCAGATCTCCGTTATTTAAAACGCAGCACTAATCATGGACACATTTATAAAAATCTTACGAATGGATGGGTTTGGTTCATATTCAAGCAGACGTTATTTAGTATTCCTTTACGGTTACTTAGTGACATTCTAGAAACAAAGTGCTGCCTAATATAAATACAAAACCTCCATTCTCCATGACCAAAAATAGAAAAGATTTTAAGGGATGCTTACATTCAGTCGCTGCAAAGAAACAGCAGCTATGCAAGCAGACACAAAAGGAAGAAAAAAAAAAGCAGCAGGCTAAAAGCATTACAAAATTCAACACATTTTTAGTAATAGATACAAAAATACTCGTTGCAAAGTTGCAAAGCCCAAGAGTAAGTTTTCACCAGCAAAAAATTAAAAGCAAGAGCAAAACATCATAGTAAATTTGGCTTCAGTTCTCCCATCACAAATACAAACCAGTTGAAAACACCAGAACAGCACTGGACAGGAACACTATTTTTAACTCCTTTCCTGGTTCAAACAGGATTCATGAAAGTAAAACATATGCTACCACCAGCACCTGGGCACATTCAGATTTCAAGCAGATGTCAAAGAACTGCACATGGTAAAACGAATCCCTTCTGAAAATTCTATTTATTAAATGAAACAACAGATTAGAGCCACTTAAGTGGCCGTCACTTCTGCTCTCTGCACACAGACAAAAAGTACTCCTTTTTTTTTTAAAGAACTACTCTATCACATATGTTAGAATGGAGAATTTTGTTTGCCAATATAAAAATAAAATGCAAATGCAACTTTCCTGCAGAATTCCAGTTATTAGTGACTTTTTATCTATGTGCATATTTTCATCTGCATACAGGTCATTAGTATAATTTAAAACTGGTAATACGAGTCCAGTACTGCTCTAACTGATAGGTGAATACCAGCTAGTACATGCCAGTATAATAAATGCTTACTTGTGAACTACACAGCCACCTACCTGTAAGAGAGCAATAAAATGTTACAAAACAAAATTCTCATTGCTATTTCTGAGCTCAAACATAGTAGAGTCTGACAGTTGGAGACAGTTTGCTACCTCAGTGCAATAAACCTCTAGATAACAGAGATAAAAAAGAAAGAATTACAAGCAGATAAGGATAGACCAGAAAACCCAGATGATCTGTTGTTTTCTGAAATTACTGCCGAGACAGTCAAAGCCAATCTCACATCAGATCCTCTTTAGACCGGGGATATATAACGCATTCTCTCAAAATGAAGCATTAGGGGAGCATTTAAAAATATCAAATTAATAGTAAGAATTCACCAGAGCCAGACATTATTCAGCTGAAGTGATAAAGTATGGAATATAAAATTGCTAAACTATTAATTCTGCAAAAATTTAGGCTTAAAGTGACTTAAGTAAAAAAGAATAGAGAGTGGAAAATATACCAAATTTTTTCAGAGCTTGATAAGGCAATCAGGAGAAGCACAACAAAACCAGTCTAACTTCCATATCAGGCAAGGTGGTTAAAACCATATCGAAGACTGGAACAATAGGGAGACAAAAAACAAGGGAGCTTTTGGGGAGGAAAGTCAGGCTTCACAACTTGAAGGGTTCTTTGAAGGAATCAAGAATCCTGTGGATAAAGGTGTTGGAAGTGGTAGGGAACTATAGACTTCTAAAAAGTTTCTGCCGGTATCTCTTACAGGAAGTTAAAGAAATTAAGACCTTGGAGGCTAAGATTTAAAAGACAAACATTCACAGGCAGAGTCAGAAGCCTCCTTAGAATGCGTGCCAGACCTTGGGCTGCTGTTCAGAACGGTCACCTGCGTATCTGTCATTTCACATGTCATCTGTGCTTAAGTTTGTAAATTACACAAAATTATTATGAGCAATCAAAACTGACATGTCATGAAAAAACTTGCAGAAGAGCCCCAGAACACTGAGTAACGGGCATATAAAACAGCAGATGAAGTCACATGTCAGTAAGTGCAATGTAACACACTGGGAGAGAGAACTTTAGGTTATTTAATGCCACTATCAGAAAAAGGTCTGGTAGTCTCTGAACATACATCTTCAAAAATACTTGTTCAGTGCTTTGAAGTGGTGATGTTAGGAACCGTCCAGATAATACCAGATTTTTTTTTAATGAAGGGCAGAGAGGATATAACACTCTTACACTGCTGATATATTTGTAGCATTCCTATACCTTCAAATTATTCTGTCTCACGAAGAACACAAAGCACCAAAAAAGTATAAGTAAAATTGACCAGAGTATAGAGACGCTTCTGTACAAAGAAAGTAAAGAGAATTTTTTAGCTCACAAAACAGGTAACTATGATGAGGTATCAGATCAAAGTACAAAAAAAATAACCACGCTAGCACCAAGTGACACAATATGTCAGATGCCTGAAGAGCTTCCCAGAAAAACAGAGGAACATCAAATGAAATTTTAAAAAGTTGCTCTTAAGTATTTCTTTGTCTAGTAAATAATTAAACGAGATAATTCAATGCCTGAAGACATTTTTGAGACCAAGAAACAAACAGGTTCAAAATTTACAAAAATTCATTAAAAAGTCCCAGGTCTGTTGAACAGCAGAACTTTCATCTCAAGATGCCTCTAAACTGCAAAAGCAGGACAGAAACTATTATTTTACATTTGTGCTAACAGCCCCTTCTTATCTGACAGTAGCAAGTACTGAGCTAGATGGACTTCACCAGATCGCATTCAAATATCCTCACACAGTGCACTCTCACTCTCTTACCCCTGCAGCTGTATGCAGTCCACAGTTTTCCCTAGCAGCCCTTGCAGCTGCTTTATTTACTAAAAATACATGGAAATAAGCAGCAGTGAGCTCCATCAAAGAATAGCATTTACACTTGTCAGTGGTAAAATAAAATAAAAATAAACAAAAAAAACCCACACGGATAAAAGCTCAGAAAACAACTCTCTAACCCTCTGCCTAGAATTACAAGACATACTTCCTTTTTTGGATACACAAAGCTTTCATTTACCTGTTGTAATTCTTTTCAGTGCAAATGGTAGCAGTAGACATGATGAAAGTCAGTCACTAACAATCCTGTAAATGTGAAGCCTATAAAGACACCGTCTAATTCTTTCCCTTTCCACCAAAGAACCACATATACTTACCTATGGCAGAAAGATTTCTTGTCAAGATTCAGTCTTCTCAGGCTATCTGATTTAGTATTCCCCTGCCCTTAGCACAAGGAAAAAGTTTCTCAAAGACCAAATCTCACTTTTCCCACCTCATGACTGAGGAATAGAGGGAAGAGACTATCCAACTCTTTGGAACCCGAGTATCCTATTTTTTGACTAAGCAATTCTATTTCTTTCAATCTTTCATCTTAAATCATTTTCTAGACCACTGCTGTTCTCTGAACACCCTCCAATCAGTCCCTATCTCATTTAGAGTTCAGAACCTAAACCAGCAGATTACTGTAAGATCCATCAACTCTGGGAAGAGCAGATTGATTACTCCAAACTACTTTTAAGCTCCCATCCAAGTGCTTTAACCTCTTCCCAATAGTATGATACTGTGTCCCTCTTAGTTTGTAATCAAAAAATTCCAAGTCCTTTTCCACAGAACTTCACCTCATCCTCTTTCTTCCCCCATCACGTACCCATGCTGTCCAGCCTACAGACAGTACGTTGCTTTCATGCTCACTGACACTCTGCTTTGTTCCAGACAATGTCTCCCATTCGCCAAGATTATTCTAAACAATAATCTCATTCTCCACCACACGTGCAGTTGCTGCCAGCTCCCCATGGCCTGAAAACTTCCTTAGCCTGCCCCTTATTTCATCATCTCAGGCCTCATGTGATAGGAAGAGCTGCCACTTGGTAAGCGAACCATGCAGCAAGTGCTCTTTAAGTGCAGTTACTCAACCAGTTTTGCTGGTAGAAACTGTAGAAGTTTCTACTTCACAGTCACAGGTAAGTAGCAAGGCAGATGCTGGAGACTGAACCTCACCAGGCAGAGGAGTACAAGAAGGTCAAGGCAGCTACAGGTTAGGAAAAGCAGAGACAGGGCCACAAGTCACACTCTGTCGCCGTGCCGCAGGACTCAGTGCTGTACTCTGGTT